ATATAAACAATTAATCATGGTTTATAAAAACTATTAATCATGGCGACATATCATTATCAGGACAATCTCACATTGTATAATTTTATATAACGAAGACAGTAGCTATCTTTAGATATCATTCATTACCCCTCCATTGCTGGTTTGAATTCCTGTGTTATAGTGCCATGATTGATAGCATTTATACCTTCCACACAGGTGGAGAAATATTTGCTATGTGTGCCTGTAGATATGTTTTACAGATAAGCCAATTTAAATCTGCATATTTCCTAGCACTGGGAATGGAAAGAATGGGAGGAAACAAGAAAAACCTTTTGTTATTAATTGGTTATTCCCAGTGGTGGAATTCAAATAGGTGAACAACCGGTTCTCTGTGTGGATGCCGCTTCTGGAAGTCCATTCTGGGCCTGGGCAACAAAAAATTAGCTACTGGTTCTGCCAAAGTGGTGTGAACTGGCTGAATCCCACCACCGGTTATTCCTCATGTTAGCAAGATCATCTTATGTGCTTTTTATTATCTGCAGAACAGCCTGACACCCCAGTGCTGTTTACCCTGTTGAGGCCAAAGCAATATTTGCCCACCAAAATTTAAGCAAATTTACTTTCAAACCTTGTTTGACTTAAAGGCAAAGCACATAATTCCTTGCAGTGTTTGTTTACTTTGCTTCATACAAATGGCTTATATCAATTATGCAGATTAAAATATGATCATAAATTAAAAAATAGAGTAGGAACAAGATGAGATTTTTTTTTCTCCTGAGCTTTGCTGAAGAAACTATCAAAGGGGAAAAAAATGGCAGCTACAATATTTTAGAACATTTGTCTCTTGCAACAGCTGCAGCTCTTTGGGGGAAAACAAATGGCCATCATGATTCATGTCTTCATCATCTCTCAATTAGATTACAGTGAACACACTTTACACACGGCGGCTACCTTTGGTAAATGGAGGTACTTATGACCATGACTGACCCTGGAATTATAGTCATAAGTTGTCTTTAGGTGAGGCAACCTCACTTAATGATCACAATCCTGGCTCTCTCCATTGCGGTCATTAAGCGGGGTGGGTGAGGCCAAGCTCTGTACTGAAACACCTCCCCAATCACACATGGCCTGCCCTGGGCCGCCCAAGGAATCCCTCACCCTCTGAGGTAGCCCTCACACAGCTTCCTGCCCCACTGGGTCCCACCTTCTTGGGCCTTGCTCCACTTATCTTTTCTGAAGATCGTCTTTCCCAATGACAAGCACTAGGTGGCCTTCCCATTCAGAGGCCGCGTTGTGCTATCCCAAGTGGACACCAGTTTAGGAGTGGCTGAAATTCTCGCAAACTGAAAATGGCGGCCACTTCCAAAATGGCAGCCACTTCTGGGCACCACATGGCCTCTATCTAGAAAGGTTGTATGGCACATCGGCTGCTTCTCCTTGAGAAAGGCATTATGATTTTCACTATTAGATAGCCTTTTACTTTGGAAACAAAGTACATTATATCTAGATTTCTTAAGTTCATAAATCGTTTAATTAAATTGCAACAATTCAGCAATTGATGGTGGAGTTGATATCAGAATGTTTCAAAATGTGAACTCATCTGCTCCGCAACAAGATTTTATTAAAACATGCTTTATTTCGTGAGATTGAAAAAAAAAAACTATTTGCTATTTGAGATTTTTGACTATCAACTATATTTTTATTTGTCCCTAAAGAGGCTAAATATTCACAAGATGAAAATGTCAACTTTTCAGTTTTCCTTCTATAGCTTTTAGGTTTTAAAACATCTAAAATACATAAAATATGCATTATGTTTATCTTTTATTCTTAACCTTGTATGATCTGTATGTGTCAGGTCCCCAAAGAAATGTATTTTAATCCTATGCCTATTTTCTCTTTTCTGAAGCCTTTCTTTGTGGTCTGCCATTCTGTTGGGAGGGGGGAGCTTTTGGGATTGCTTGCACTGTCTGCAGGATGCCCTTCCCCCAGGGGATGGAATGTCTCACCCTTATCTAAGAGACGGTTTTTCAGCAGTTCCAAGAAGGGTCCACACCCATTTGCACCACTCAGGTGACCTTGATGACACAGATAAATCTCCAGGTGGCCTCAACGACTCTCTAACAGAATGCAAATGACCAGCTGTCTGCAAGGAGTATAAATCCTTCCATTCCCCACCATCCAGTCAAAGCTGAAGAAGCTTCTTGGATGAGAAGTGAAACATCTTCAAAGAAAAACAAGAAAGTCCAGTTGCCTCGTGAAAAAGCACCTTTGGGATAACTATGACATGGCTGACTGAGAATCTCCATAGACGTTTAGGTGACTATTAGTTCAGCAGTAGCCTTTTTGGAATGAGGAAAAGGACCTTTTTGCCAATTCCCTTTCTCCTTCAGTTCCCCTCATATTCCAAAAATCTGCTCTGGAGAGTTTGGGAAATTGGCAGATAAAGGTGGGAAATTGCCCTGCAGTTTTGATGGTGTAAGGGGAATTATCCCTGGCAGGAAGAAATGTTGCCTTCTAAGGCCCTGGCTGCAGCATAAACCCAGCTTCATTTCCTTACTTCCTTTTCTGTCAGCACCATTAAAAAGTGATCCAGACAGTAGGAAAGAAGTTCAAAGATCTTGCTTATGAAACTATATTTTGTGAAAACCTTTTAATACAAGAATCCTTTCTGCATTGCACATTTAAAGAATATTCATAGAGATTATGATGTCAACGCTGCAAATACTGTATATTCTTGCTTTGACAATATGCAGAACTGTCTGGTATTTTTATAGTTAAATCAGGCAACAGTGAAAGGGGAGGAGAATAAGGAAAGCCCGGGAAAAAGAAACCGGAAGTAAATCACACCTTCCAAGTTAATTGGAAGATGTGAACCATGACCCCAAAACAGGGGAGGGAAAAATGCTTGGAATGTATGTGCAACGGAAAATAATCTCAGATCTAAGCATTTCCACCATGCCGTACTGACATCTCTGTAACCTTAATAAATGCTTTTAGGAAAAAAATATGCCTGAAAGTCCTTTTAAGTGTTTCGTTAATCAGACACATGACATATATTTTAGAAGTACCTTTTAGTTACTTTGAATATTAACAGATAGAAAAAAAATGATTACTGTATATACAAATGTATTGATTGAGGCTGCATATTACACAATCTGTAACACCTTTAGGTTATTGTTTTATTTAGCTGTAATGTTTTTGCAATATACCCAAAATTTAGCGTGAAAAGCGTTTGGCTAGAGAGCAGTCTTAAGTATCCTTCCTTGAGGCTTTCAGAAGAGACAGAAAAAAGAGACAGAAAAAAGGAATTCTCGGCCATTTTGTTTTTCTTAGGGAAAAAAGAGGGTGACGCAGCCATATTTAGGACTGATTCTCTTTCAAGAAGGGAACCAGAAATTTTGGGGGTGGGGAAATCTTCTAACATAGTCATGGTAGGTAGTAAATCTGTAAGTCCTTTTAAATACAAATGTGCTGAAATGGAAGCTACCAGAAAAGTAGTGTGGTACATCATTGTGTGACAGAATAGGTTCAATTTCTATAGAGAGGATGTTTCCTTGTCATCTTTAAATGATTTTGTCTGATAGGTGACTGAAGAGCAGCGAATGCCTACAAAATAAGGACATTGCACCTTTTTGAGTCAATTATCAACAACAGAAGAAGGGAAACAATTTTAGTAATTTCTCTATCATCATCACAGTAGTCTCCTGATCCTCCTTCTGTATTTTCTCCAATTTTCTAAATTAAATTAGGGATTGATGGGGATTTACAAAAACTTGCCACCCTCCTGGTATGCATCAAAATTGGTATTGTATCAAAGAACACTTTATACCAGATAGATACAACCCATTCTTCATAGAAGCCATTACTAGCCATGTGTTAGTTCCAATATGTTATATTTTGATAGTCTACTGTTTTCTTTAGGACATCAGAGTTATGAGAACCTCTAAACAAAAACCATATCTACACAACCTATTTAAACTGCTTGGACATGCATTTTCTTCCCCTTCTGAATGTAGAAGTATCATTTGTCCTAGAAACCTCCATGCCCGCCACTTACTTTCTCCATGGTTCATTGAGAAAAGCCATGGCATTTCAATTAGTGCAAAATTGATTCGGGTTTCTAATGCAGCCATGGTTACATATCACAATGAAAACCACTAAGTGAGTAAATTCCAACTTTTTTAGTTGTCATGTAAATTGTTTCTTAACCAAGGGTCTTCTTTGCCTTAGATCATTTTGTGATGTATTCATCATAAAAGGGTCACCTAGAGCAAATAAGCATTAGCAAAACAAAAAATCGAAAAGGATGAACATCTCACTGTCTTCCTCCAAACCAACATACACTTTAAAGCAGGGGTCTCTTATCAACTTTAATTGGGTATTTCTAGTTTAATGAAGAGAAGGACGAGGGGGGGGGGACATGATAGCAGTGTTCCAATATCTCAGGGGCTGCTACAAAGAAAAGGGAGTCAAGCTATTCTCCAAGGTGCCTGAAGGCAGGACAAGAAGCAATGGATGGAAACTGATCAAGGAGAGAAGCAACCTAGAACTAAGGAGAAACTTCCTGACAGTTAGAACAATTAACCAATGGAACAACCTGCCTCCAGAATCAGTGAATGCTCCAACACTGGAAGTTTTTAAGAAGAGACTGGACAGCCATTTGTCCGAAATGGTATAGGGTTTCCTGCCTGAGCAGGGGGTTGGACTCGATGACCTCTAAGGTCCCTTCCAACTTTATTATTATTATTATTAAACTTGTGGGCTTCAGTGACTGGCTGGGAAATTCTGGGAGTTAAAAGTCCACAAGTCTTAAAGTTGCCAAGGTTGGACACCTCTGCTTTAAACAATCATTGTGGCACTTCTATATTTTACAGTGAACATTTTAATTTTCGGTTCTATTAGTTTTGACATGCACTTGTCACCTACCATTATAAAGCCTTTTCTCTTTTCCATTTTGAATGTGACAGTGACTTCCAGTGCTCAGAAATATATATATTTCTTTTAAATTTTTGCACAATTACCTTGTGAAGTCTGTCATCTCCATCATAATCACACACATCCGTTTAGCGAGAACGATGATGTCATTGCTGGTGTCGTCCCATATTTCAATCTCCTTATCAAGCTCACTCTTGACTTTCTTAAAATCAGCCACTTGTTCAGCTATCTTTTCTTTTTCCGCCTCTGGCAACTGAGTCATCTTTGCCTGCAAAATCAAGATAATTTGATCTACAAAACATCTGCCTATATCAGAGGACGTCCTCCTTTTACGGACTGGAAGGGACTTTAACAAATTATTGCTGTAAATAAGATGTGACTGTGAAACAGCTAAGATCGAATCCACAAATATTTGGGCCAAATTCCTGTAAGAGGGCAAATTTTTATTAGATCTTGAACAAACATCGTAGCTAGCATAGTTTCATGCACAAATAAACCTTTCTTCCTCCAGTATTTTTTTTTAATTTAACAGGCCACTCAATATCACTAAAAGAAGACAATTTATGCCCAACTACAACTACTTTGCTAAGTGTAACATTGCACTTTTCCCTTCATCAGAGTTATCCAAATTTGGCAACTCTAAGACTTGTGGACTTCAATTCCCAGAATTCTTCAGCCAGCATGGAGTTGAAGTCCACAAGCCGTAAGGTGGGCGCTCCCTCACTGGAGGTTTTTAAGAGGCTAGACAGTCACTTGTCTGAAATGGTATAGGTTCTCCTGCTTGAGCAGGAGGCTGGACTAGAAGACCTCCAAGGTCCCTTCCAGCTTTATTGTAAGGACCCACTTCAATCCCACATCTTAAGAAAGCAGAACTCTTGGAAACAATTTCTTCCAACAGGAACTTTTATTAAGAGTAGTTGATAGCAGGCATAATAGACAGGATCTGAGGGATTTCTTTACAGATCGATACTTTAAAGTGTCCCTAAGCAAACCCCACCCCACAGTTCATCTGGACGGTTCAGACCGGCCAATACCCAGGTGTTAAGTCCATCGTGGGAAAGGGGAGATAACATCGGTCCGGCTCTGGTTGTAGCACGATGTTCCACAGCTCTTTACACCTCCTTTTGAGACCGGAGAAATAAGCCAGGTTCCAGAGGTTTTTATTTCTTCCCCCCCCCTCCTTTTCCTAGCTACCAGGTTAAGGAGAAGAAAGTTCAGAGAGATGCATAGTGCAGGAGGCAATTTGTTACATTGTAATGGGCAGCAGACACAGAGGCAATAAACAAAAGGTTATATTGTAGCAAATAAAGGAAGTGAAAGCAATAACCCCACATGCATATCCCCCTCCCCCTTGGGAGTATGGCAGAATCCAGGGGAAGGTGAGATTTGGTTTTAGATCAGAGGAGATAAATAGAAATGAAATATAAATGGGTTCTGACATTTATTCTATTCTAAGTTGCCAAGTTTGGAGACCTTTGTCCTACAACAAAGGAAAGCAAGTTCTGTGTAGCATGTGAAGAGATATAGCGGAATAGACCACAACAGTGAGGGAGACAGCTCTGTGCAGATTTCAACTTCCTTTTATTTCTTCCTAATCTGACTATTTAACTTGTGTATTGAACTTGCTGTGGCGGTTAGGCTGCTAGTAAGGTGTGGTGTTTGGCGTTTCTCTTCACTGCCATCTAGTGGTCATTCAGACTTTTCCCCCCTGAGGATTTGATTATCCGAAATACTACCTCTCTCCATATGTTTGTCCAGCCATTAAAATCAGCAGAGAAAAGCCCTTTTGATAATGCCTGATTTTCAAAGTTCTATTTATCACTCCAAGTTTGGAATGTATTTCAGCATTACAGTAGAAGAAAAAAAGTAGACCAGGCAGCTGGATCCAGATCTTCTTCAGAAGCTTGCAAAGGGGTACATGTCTCTATTTATGTGTATGCTTATTATACACATGCTTAAATTATGTATTTAATCCATGAGATCAAAATAAGCAAACATTTTCCAAATAGCTCCTCACTGAACAATCACCATTCTCATTTATTCTTAAGTTTCTTTTTTCTCATCTAGGTCTCACCCATCTTTTCATGTCTCTAAACAGAATAACATTTCTCTGAAATGCATTCATTCAGAACAGGGGTCTTCAAACTTGGCCCTTTTATGACTTGTGGACTTCAACTCCCAGAATTCCTCAGTCAGCGTCATAAAAGGGCCAAGTTTGAAGACCCCTGATTCAGAAGATTGTTTTGCCATTATCACCATTCACTGGAACCTAACATGCAACTATTACCAATCTATACATTCTTACTTTCTTACTTTCATATCATAGTGGTATGTGGTTGTATACCACTATATATTCTGAAAACAACGTAGATGACACCAGTTCATACTTTCTGTCATTTTAGCTCATTTGTTCATAACTGAACCAAAATATTCACTTTCATAGATTCACAAAGTGCGCTTCATAAGATCACACCTCCTTCATTCTGATCTACTCCAACTTTCCACTTTCTTTTAGCTTACTACAATGCTTTTTTTCTAAAAAAAAAAAAAAAAAAAGGTGCTGGAACTCACACATGTCATACAACCCACCTTGCCTACTCTACAAGGTTCCATCCCAAAAAGGTGCCGGAACTCCGTCCTGGGCGTTCTATGAGAAAAAAAGCCCTGGGCTTACAAATACCAAACACAAGTATTTTTAGTTTAGTCATTTGTAAATTAATGCTCTACTCCAGCTATTCCTTTTCCCATTTCAGTGGCAATCTTCTATATACTGTATGCCATGGTGAATATCAACTGAGTCTTTAGATAATGACCTCTGCTACCCGTTTTGGTTTTGGAAAACTGAGGCTTTCACTTATTTTGCAGTCAGTACACAGAGAGCTGCTGAAATGTAGGGACTAAGGTATTGAACCAGGGCGGGGAAAATTCACAGTCACACAATCTATATTCTGAGCATGACCAAGCCCAAATTATCCTACTTCAGACAGCTCTTAGGAAAAGTGACTAATGCTGAGAAGGAAAAAGAAGATGATCAGCAGCAAGAGGGATGGATTTAGTTACAATGGTGATGAATGCACCACTGGAAGACCTGAATGAACAGATTAGGGATAGATCATCGGGGGAAAAAAATCTACTTACAGTATGTGGTCTCTATAAGTCAAAAACAATGATGTTACATGACTAAGCAATCAACCATCCTGGCTTGCTTATGCATAGTATGAGCTATGTTTGGAATACAATTGGACTTTGGTTGCACTTGTGGTATAATGGGCTCTTAATTTTGTTTTGGGCTATTATTTTCTATGTCCTGAATTCTAGCCCTGAAGTGTGGAATGCTGTAGACATATTCTAAAAGCCTTTTAGAAGAATGAAATATGTTCCTCATTTATAGAAGGAAAGCACTCGATATGAAGAGATGGGGACAGGAGAGATGCAGTGAAAGCTGGATCCACAACTACTTCATTCTATTGCCAAGCAGTCTACCTGAATTTGAGTACCGTTGAAGGAATAACTTTATATGAAGATACATTGAGATTGTTCCCCAAGGCATGACATGTGAATATACTAGTCAGTCATTTTTAAGGTCCATGTTCAATTTTTCCTTCTAGTTATGCTTTAATTTCCAGGAATTGCCTGGAAGCTCCTTTTTAATGATCACCATCTTCTTTGCAGCTGTCAAGGATGATACCATCTGCCTTGCCAAAAGGCGATCAGAATGAATTGCTCTGAAATTGCAGTGGAACTGTTCAAAATTTTAAAACAGTAAAATGCCTGACATGTTCAGAAAGAAGATGGTAGCTTGAAGATACAAAGATACAAAAAATTCAGTTGTTTAGTTTACTGCCCAAAAAAACAAGCTCATCACAGTCTGGAACTAAAAAGAAAAACAAGAGAACACGACCTCATTCTCACTTCTACTATACGTTTACTAGAGATAGGGAGCAACTAGCTTCTCCCTAATAGTTTCCTAAGTGCACCGCAATAAATCCTCTAACATAAGCAAAGAACTGTCCTATCAGGGCTTTTTAAATAAAAGTAGGCAACAACCTCAAGAGCCTACATGCTTAAGCAAGAAAGACCTAGAACCAGCCAAGTATCAGAAGGCAGAGCTGATGGTTTCAACATGCTCATGAATGGTTTCCTACATTGGAAGAGGCCACCTCTGATACTTGGCTTTCTGCACAATGGGAGGCAGTGCCCAACTCACGCTTAGTTCCACATGCTTCTGGGTGTTCACTGGTGATAAGGATTGCCATCACCCTGAACAATTCTAAGCACATTACTGCCATTTCCCATGAAAAGCCAAGCAGAGCAGGGCCCCGTTCTAAAATAACGTGAACATTGGAACAACGACCTGCCCATCCATCCCTCTCTTCTGTTCTGTGCTATTTTAAAATTTCTCTTGAAGGGTTAGGGGAGGACCTGGGTGTGGTTCAAAAGACAAAAAATAATCACCTGAGAAGGTTGAAACTCTTCCCCAAATCACAACTCAGGTCCCCTTTGAAGTTTTCTAGGCACTAAAAGTATTCAGGTGGAGAAGGCAGAATTTAACCTATTTATAGATTTACCGTATTTTTCCGTGTATAAGACGCTATTTTTTTCCCCGCAAACACCCTGTTGAAAAATCAGGTGCGTCTTATACAAGTGCAGCGTCTTATAGACGAAAAAATAATGGTAACCTCCGCAGCCCAGGGCATGCCTGTGTGGGTACTTTACATGCTGCTGCCATGCCGCCTGGTGCAGGTGTCAAGCCCCTGTGGGCTTGCCACTAATGGGAGGGGGGAGGGGGCAAGATTGTCAGATGGCGGCATCCGGAGGTAGCGGATGGGACCAGCAGCATGGATGGCAGCGACAGCCCTTTCCATCCCTTGTACCTGTATGCTAGCTGGGACCCTGTGGAACACAGCTGCGAGGCCATCCTGTTTGATAATAGCGGCCGGCCGAACTTCCGGATTTGCTGGCTCAGCAGTTCAGCGCTCTGCTGAACAGCTGATTGGTGTGGAGAAACGGCGGGAGTTTAAAACCTGCCTTCGCTTTGCTTCCCTTGCTGTCATGCCGGTGCTCATGCCAGTTTGTTTACCAGAGTCGGAAAGCTGCTGCTGTGAACTGACTATGCATGCTCATCATGCCAGATGCTGGTTAGGTGGGTGGGGGGTGGGGTTAGCCGGGAGGCGTCTATTTAGAGCGTTAGAGGCGGTTGCTCCCAGCGCTGACTTTGTTTGCTGTTAGCTTGGAACTCGCATGCCAGAGCGTCTTATACAAGGGTGT